CCTAGAGAGTATTCAGTAATTCCTTTGCTCCACAGCATCAGAAAGATATTAACCCGATGGTGGAGACAATGAGCTCAAAACACAAGCACTTTTTAACCATTGAAGTGGAGACAAAGGTTGAAAGAAGGATCGAAAAGGATAAAACATTCATTGTTTATCAGATTAGCGATGACCGATTTCTTGTCAAAGGCAACGAGTTCGACTGTTTTGTTGATTTGCACGAGAGAACGTGTTCATTTGAAAAGTACGATTTGGTAAAAACCATTGAACGCTGGACGTAACATGTCGACAAGTACTTCGTTTCTTTAGTACTTCTTCTTCATTTTAATGTGCTCTCTGTATTGTGTTTAAGGTTTAATTACTGTTACAGAACACACATAATAAAACCATTGAAGTGGTATTAGAAGACGCAGTGAAGAAAACCAAAACGAATGGATGAGAAAATAGAGTCGAACTGATGGGGAAGCATCCGCGTGTTTGATTTGGTTTAACTATAATATACTTATATATGTGCAAAGAACAATTAATGATCTTCAGCTTACTTGGTTCTTGTCCATGACACTCAACCCTTGACCGTGAGTTCGATGGCACCTTATCACACACCATTTTGCATTTTTTCACTTTATATTTAGGGTATAGGGTATATATTATGAAACAGGTAGGGTTTCAACATTTTTGAAATAGGAAAGTTTTAATCTCCATAAGTTTAGAAGTTTAGGGTATAGATTATGAAACAAAAATGGTTTCACTTTTTGAAACACAAAAGATTAAATTCCATCGTTAGAGGAAGTTTATGGTATATATAGATTACGAAACAAAAAGAGTTTAGGGTATAGAGTATCAAATATTTTTAAGGTTTAGGGTATAGAGTATCAAATAAATATTGATATATATTTTTTTTTTGAATTTAGAGTTTAGGGTATAGAGTATTAGAATGAATGTTTTTTAAAGATTGATGAAAACTTTTTTTTTTAATTTAGAGTTTCGAGTTTTGGATAAATGGGTTGAAGTAATTATTTGAGTAGACATAGAAAATTCGTGTCCAGCTCAGGCTAGGTGATGGTCGGATCGAGCCAACATTCATAATGGAACATGAAAAAACAGGGAGATCAACCCGATCTGGAAAGCAACCTGTCAGACCGGGCTAAGTCAAGGCAAGTGTATCAGGCTGATTCGATTAATACAACAAATATGAAACAATTGTTTTCTCCTTATTCCTTATTATGTCAGGTTCCTTAGAATACCAAAAGTAAAACAATGAAAGAAAAATCGTATAAAAAACATAATCAAAGAGAACATAGTAAACGACAACGCAAAAGAGATAGTACTTCAAAGTCACATATGGTTAGAAGGACTGCCACTCCTACTCAATCAGTCTTCTCTACTGCTTCGAGGAATGCCCATCATCAGCATGTGAACTGCTCGTGTGTGTTACATCTGATGCACCAGATTCAATATCGTCTCGTGCAGACCGAACATGAGGAACAAAAGAAGGAGGCCGGATGGAAGCTAAAGCGCCATAAATTTGCTGCATCATCTCACTGTTGATACTTAACGCTTCAACAATCCACTTCAATGTTTGCGACTGTGGCTCTTGAGCAAGCGGAGGAAGCTGAAATCGACTAGTAAATGGAGGGAGTAGACAATCAGGCTGAAGTTCAAGCGCATGTGGAGCTTCGCCTGCTTCAGTGTCTATACATGTGTTGCGATGCCGAGCACGGTGTGATTTCACAGAGAAGCTCGGGTGCAGATAGGAACTCCAAATTCTCGTGAGAGTTGAGATGATGAAAATATGAGATTAAAGAGTAAAAATGAGGTCGTCCCTCTCTATCTTCAAAATAATACTGAGAGAATATCTTAAACGGACCAGTCAGGATGTGAAAATGAACCAAATATGCTTCATCAATAAGCTTTGCCCCTCTAAGTGGTGGCGAGTGCTGAAGATCAATCTTGTGATAGCTCGTTGAGGCTCATGGAGTAGAATTTCTTGTTAACAATGAAGGAGAGGCGTCCTTGACTTACCACTTGATTATTTTCATCCTCATATAAGATGCTTTGCCTTTGGCCTTTGGCAATTAGGCAAGATATCAATGAATATTAGTTCTATATCTACTTAGTACTCATAGCCACCATGTAGTTATATTCTTCTACTATAAACTAATCCATCATTTCTTTACCAAATACTTTAATTTAACACGAAGAATCAATGGAAATTAAAATCACTAAGATCCAGCTTTTGTTCTCATTTCCTAAGCAATCTTAGTAACCAACCAAACAAGCATTTATCTTTGAATAAAGAGAAACAAAACTGTAGAATCTTACCGGAACCGTGAGGAGGAATCCGGTGGCGGACAGAGAAGACAGAGGCAAAGAGAAGATCAAGGGTGAGGAGGAATTCAGTGACGGACGGAGAAAACAGAGGCAAAAAGAAGATGAAGGGTGAGGAGGAATCTGGTGGCGAACGGAGAAAACAGAGGCAAAGAGAGCTTGAAGGGTTTCGATAGTTTTCAGGGATTTTGGGTTTTAATAGTTTCTAGAGATCTCTAGTTTCTATTGATAAAGATTAAAAAAAATTGTTTATAATATAAAACTGTTTTCTTTATAAATCAGATTTAATAATTAGATTTATTTTATTTAAATAGAAACTACAAATAAAATTAATAATATTAGAGGGTAAAATTGAATTTCCCAAAATTAGAGTTTAATGGGACTTATTCATATAGTAGAAGGTGTATTGGGACAAACTGAAGTTCAAATGGTGGTAATTTAGCAAATTTCTCCAATTAATCATTATTGCTTTGTTTACGTATTTAATATTTTGAAAAATAATTAGGAGATTTTCAAATGTTATAATAATATTAACATCGAAGAACAATGAATATAGAGATATTAGCATTATATTAGCCATTACACTAATAATTAATCATCTAACTCACCCTAAATTATAATTAGGTAATTAACATTGACAATACCTAGATAGACCATTTTACCTTTAGTTTATTTTTCAGTTTTTATTTAAAAAACAAAAACAAAAACAAATCACAGTATTTTTTACCCTAATCACAAATCACCGCCGATTTCA